CCCTTCCAACCCCTACTATTCTGTGATTCTGTGATTCTGTAACTCCTGTCCTGCAACGGTTACCAGGCATGGTGTGGTTTACACACCACACACTGAATTTGCAAGGTGAACACGGGGAGGCTTAGCTACCAGCAGATGGGTGAGGAGCTCCCAGCACTCTGGTAGCTGATTTTGTGGCAAACGCTTTGTTTCTTCGTGCTCTCAGCAGAGCAGTGGAGCTAGCAAGGTCTGACGAAGAAGTAGCACTAACTTTTTTAGATAGTGCTTTTGTAGTCCAGACTGCATACAGGGGCTTCGATCCGATACCTTGATTAAATAGGAATTACAGAAGATGAGAGTTAGGAAGAGAACCAGGGACTGCTAGCACAGCGTTCTCAAACTGCTTTGTGTGACCTCGTACGAATGGCACAAGCTGGCAAACCACTGGAGAAGGCAACCATGTCTGGTCACAGCAGGCTAATTTCAATTACTAAACATCAGCACCCAAAAGATCCGTAGATCATGTCAAGTCCTAAAGAAAACAATATAAATGTTTATTTTGGAATAGGATCTGGTCTGGTTCAGGTCACATTTTCCAAGGCTAAACCCAAGGAATGGGAGCAGACAGTCTTGGACTTCAGCGACTTCAGACAACTTTATCTGTTGGATTTACAGATAACAAATTCATCACCACAAGCCTGGCTCTGCCAGCTCGGGATTAGCCACAAACAGGACCTTACTGAAGCACAAAGGAAACTCTTCACGGGCTTATACACTTTATTACCACCCTGCGTTGCCAAGTATTTCCCATCTCTAGCAAACAGAGCGTTCCCCTGACTTCTAAGGCTCCTGTAAGTATACGCTGCAGAATGTAAAACTGCGGGTACTCAAAAAAACAAAGCCAAAACGTCACCATTTTGTTCATCTAGCTAGAAACCAGAGCAGCTTCAGGCCAGCTGAGCGGTGATAGCGACTGCCTCGGTCCCACCTAACGAGGAGGTGGTCACAGAATCACAGAATCACAGAGTAGTAGGGGTCAGGCCACCCAAATTCAGCTTTGGAAGAGGACAGAGTCAAAGGCAG